TGTGTGCGTCACCCCCGTTTCGGTACACCCCTCACACGTTTCGTGGCCCCATAGGGAGCTCCACCACCGAAGTTGCCAATGGCAGTGCTCAGACGTGGGCGTCACCCCCGTTTCGGCACACCCTTGATGTGTTTCGTGGCCCCATAGGGGGCTCCACCTAAGGCCCCAGTGGCAGTGCTCACATTTGGACGTCACCCCCGTGTTGGCCCACCCCTCACACGTGCCGTGGCCCCATACGGAGCTCCACCGAATACGGTTCTCACAGCTGCGCTATTCACGCCTGCATTTGGTTGGGCCCTTCGCCAGGACAATGTGTGAACGAGTGCGCGCGGCGCGAAGGCGAGAGCCACATGCTGGAAGAGGCCCGCCCTCCATCTGCGAAAGGGTTGCAGTTATTTTGGGCGAGTGCGCGCGGCGCTACGGCGAGAGCCACAGTTTGAAAACCACCCGCCCTCAATCCGCGAAACTCTCTGCAAAATGTTTAAATCGAATGAGCGCGACGCTACGGCGAGAGCTACTTTTTGGAAGCGGCCCGTCCTCCACCTGCGAAAGTGTTGCAATGTTTCAGACGACTGAGCGCGGCGCTAAGGCGAGAGCCGCATTTTGAAAGCCACCCGCTCTCAATCCGCGAAAATTTTGCAAGTGTTCAAGGCGAATGCGCGCGGCGCTAAGGCGAGAGCCACATTTTGGAACCGGTCCGCCCTCTATGTGTCAAATTGATGTCATTTGTTTAGCTCCAGGGTCATAAGTGGTGAGGAAGTCTCAGGCGAAACGCCCGGCCCGCCCTTTCGACCGGCCTCGGGCTGCGACAGGGAGGGATTACGTCTAAGGAACAGGAATCGAGGATGGAGGAGAAAGGATGAGCAGGAGGAAGAGTGGAAGAGCGATGGAGAAGGCTGAGGTTTGTGATTGTGCGGGAGGCCTTGCAAGCGCGCGCCGTTGTGGGCACAGATAAGGTTGGGACGAATTTGCAGGCTCGCGGCAGCTCACGGAGGGAATCGTGACCTCAGGAGAGGGGCGAGGAGAGAAGCGAGGAAACGTCATATCTCCGAAGAGAAATTGTATGAACCTGAGTTGCGGAGGTCCGAAAGCTTATTCCCCACCCGACAGGTTGGGGCTGTTAGATGTTAGAAGAGTTCGCGTCCGCCCACCCTGCATACCGCGGCCGCTTGACCCCACAGGATCCCGAGTGTCCTTGAGTATCCCGCCTCACGTCCTCGACCAATGACGACAACCAGACCGCGGTCGCCAGACCCCACAGGACCCGGAGAGTCCCTGAGTGTTCTGCCTCGCGTCCTCTACGAATGACGACACCTTGCATACCAGACAGCTTCGACGGGAATGCGTCACACCGTCCAGGCGTCACGACGCATGAGCAAAGGGGCATGAAGGATCTACATCAAGAGCGCATTGCAAAAGTTGGCTTGGCATGCACAGTATAACAACCATAGTATGGCATAGCTGATCACAGCACCGCATGCATGTACATAACATGTTACTTTTATGTGTAGCAAAACCAGAGCAGGGCACAATATCGCATACCATGGCATACCACAACATTACACAGCATGGTATAACATAGCGTATGAAACCATACCTTCACGTAACACACCATGCCATTACATCAGAGATCAGATGATACAGCATGGGTCATAACGAAATGCACCAAACATTACCATACCAACACATGAACAAACTGCCAGTGTGTTGCCACAGCGGTGGCAGACGAGTACACCAGTGCCTGGGCATCACATGGCATGCAGAACCTAATGAAATTGTCCGAGCATGACATCTCACATCATAGTATGTCACAACAGAGCATAACACCACATATTGTTGCAGATCAGTTCATATTCGCAACACATCACAGCGCGTACCATACCGTAACATAGTTCATGCTATTGCGATTGTTCTGGCCCATGACCGAGTATTTCAGGTTTTGATTGTTTACACTGCTACCACAGCGGTAACGAATACCATACGATACCAAATAATTTAACACCGATAACCAAGACCATCCGAACTCAACAGAACATAGCAGACCATTAAGGACAGCGGACAACACAACATGTGAACAATTACTCCGACGGAAGGACCCCACATGAGAATCCTCTGGGCGAATTTGGACAAAAAAACCTCACCGTCGTCCTCGTGGTTGGTGAGGCGTCCTGGCTGTCTCTTCTGCGTATATTTCTTCTCGCCTTGGCGCGGGCCCTCCCCCCGCTCCCTACGTTGCCCCCGACCTCGCCCTCTTGTTTTGGCTCCGGACACTCAGAAAGTGGCCCGGGAGTGGTGTTCTGTGAGCACGAAGAACACGAAGTGGCTTGCAGTTGGCTCCGAGCATTCAAAATGTGGCCCAGGGATGGTGTTCTGGGAGCACGAAGAACACGAAGTGGCCTACAGGTGGCTCCGGGCATTCAAAATGTGGCCTGGGAATGGCGTTTTGGCAGCGCGAGAGCCCAAAAGTGGCGACAGTTAGAGGAATTGGATGACCTGCTCGGATCAGTAACATGATCCGCGGGCCCCATAGGGAGGGGGTTCCCGCTTGAGACTTCCTCGCAATTCACTCACAAATGTGGCCTGGGAATGGCGTTCTGGCAGCGCGAGAGCCCAAAAGTGGCGACAGTTAAAAGAATTGGATTACCCGCTCGGATGAGTAACATGATCCGCGGGCCCCATAGGGAGGGGGCTCCCGCTTGAGACCTCCTCGCAATTCACTCACAAATGTGGCCTGGGAATGGCGTTCTGGCAGCGCGAGAGCCCAAAAGTGGTGACAGTTACAGGAATTGGATGACCCGCTCGGATTAGTAACATGATCCGCGGGCCCCATAGGGAGGGGGCTTCCGCTTGAGACTTCATCGCAATTCACTCACAGACGAGGCCCAAGGCGAGTGAGTGAGTGAGTGACTGACTGACTGGTGATGATGATGATCATCACACTGTCTCACGCGCACACTCATCATCATCATATGTGAGTGCGGATGAGTCAGTGAGTGAGTGAGTGAGTGCGTGAGTGAGTGAGTGTGTGAGGGATGATGAGTGAGTGAGTGAGTGAGGAATGAGTGATGATGATGGTGGGTTCATGTTCCTTCGCGGGGTGTCCAGAGAAAACAAGAACCCCACTTTGGATGTGGGGAAAACACAGCATGCATCAGCCTAGGCATGGCACGACCGCCCCAATCATAACAGAACACAACACATGGCATGCCACATGATGACGTAGCAGATCGTGTTGTGACGGAAAGGGGCAGGCTGAAGTATAATCGAGTCGAACCTAACATAACACGTCATAAGCGTTCTACGATTGCGACTACTACGTTAACGATTGGAACACAGCACCTGATGGTGTAACATAATGATGGGCACTTCGCGTAACCCCACCAGCTGACACGCCCTCTGGACTTTTCTTTGCGGGCCGCCGAGCAAAAAAAAATATCCTGGCGAAGGACCCAACCATATGCAATTGTGAATGACGCTTTGTGGGTGCCGCTTTCGGTGGGGCTCCTTATGGGGCCACGAAGGCGTGCCACGAAACGCTGTCCTGGGCGTACGGGACGCATGAGGGCGGTAGCACTGGGGCCTTCGGTGGAGCCCCCTATGGGGCCACGAAACGTGTGAGGGGTTACCGAAATGGGCGCGGCGCCGCCATGCGAACGCAGCCATTGGGGCCTTCGGTGGAGCTCCCTATGGGGCCACGAAACGTGTGAGGGATGTGCCGGAATGGACGCGGCGCCGCCATGCGAACGCAGCCACTGGGGCCTTGAGTGGAGCTCTCTATGGGGCCACGAAACGTGTGAGGGGTGTGCCGAAATGGGTGCGGCGCCGCCATGCGAACGCAGCCATTGGGGCCTTCGGTGGAGCTCCACATGGGGCCACGAAGCGTGTGAGGGGTGTGCCGAAATGGGTGCGGCGCCGCCATGCGAACGCAGCCACTGGGGCCTTCGGTGGAGCTCCCTATGGGGCCACTAAGCGTGCGAGGCCCGACGAAGCGTGCGAGGGGTTACCGAAATGGGCGCGGCGCCGCCATGCGAACGCAGCCACTGGGGCCTTCGGTGGAGCTCCCTATGGGGCCACAAATCGTGTGAGGGGTGTGCCGAAATGGGTGCGGCGCCGCCATGCGAACGCAGCCACTGGGGCCTTCGGTGGAGCTCCCTATGGGGCCACGACGTGCGAGGGGTAAATGGGTGCGGCGCCGCCATGCGAACGCAGCCACTGGGGCCTTCGGTGGAGCTCCCTATAGGGCCACAAAACGTGTGAGGGGTGTTGCCGAAATGGGTGCGGCGCCGGCCATGCGAACGCAGCCACTGGGGCTTTCGGTGGAGCTCCCTATGGGGCCACGAAACGTGTGAGGGGGTGCGAAATGGGGTGCGGCGCCCGCCATGCGAACGCAGCCACTGGGGCCTTCGGTGGAGCTCCCTATGGGGCCACGAAACGTGTGAGGGGTGTGCCGAAATGGGCGCGGCGCCACCATGCGAACGCAGCCATTGGGGCCTTCGGTGGGGCTCCACATGGGGCCACGAAACGTGTGAGGGGTGTGCCGAAATGGGTGCGGCGCCGCCATGCGAACGCAGCCACTGGGGCATTCGGTGGAGCTCCCTATGGGGCCACGAAACGTGTGAGGGGTGTGCCGAAATGGGCGCGGCGCCGCCATGCGAACGCAGCCACTGGGGCCTTCGGTGGAGCTCCCTATGGGGCCACGAAACGTGTGAGGGATGTGCCGAAATGGGTGCGGTGACGAGGGAAGGGGGAGGAGGCAGAGGAGGAGGAAGGAAGGAAGGAGAGGAGACGCGGGGCACCGTCTCTTCAAAACGAGGACCCAACACCACAGGATGGTTGGGAAAAACCACCAGCCCCCGTAGCCACTAGTTCGAGCCTTTGGTTCAAGGCCGTTGGAGTTGAGGCTTTGCTTCGCTCTGTTGGGCGTGCCCAGCAGCTCTGCTATCGCAGGGCCGGTCCGTCGGACCGACATCGAGCGCTCGCTCAGCAGCCTCCAGGGCAGGATGGGAAGTTGCGTCGAGGCCTTCATTCCGCACGGCGATCATGTGGACGATGTGGTCAATGAGGACGCCGGCGAGAATGGCTCCTTGACCATATCTAAAGACAGAGAGACCCTAGCTCATATAGGATACCGCTCAGACGTGGATGGACTGCGAGCCGTCGCTGTGCTGAGCGTCATCGCCTACCACATGAACACAAGATGGCTGCCAGGAGGCTACGCCGGAGTCGATATTTTTTTTGTCATTTCTGGATGTGTTGTGACTGCGTCTCTGCTCAATCACTCGTGCGGCAGCTGCTCGGAGTTCTTCTGCGGTTTCTACGCCCGCAGGGTCAAAAGGCTGACCCCAGCGCTGCTAATTTCCACGGCGTCCTGTGGACTCTACATCGCCATCATGGTACCGCCCATGACTCCTCACCTGGAGGACAACTTCGCAGCCGCCGCCAGTGCGCTCTGCGGCGCTTCCAACGTGTTCTTCGCGCGGCTCTCCCAGGCGACTGGCGACGGCTACTGGGACGAGATGACGGGGCAGAGCAGGAACGCCGCCAATCCATTCGTGCACACCTGGTCTCTTGGCGTAGAAGAGCACTTCTACCTCGTGTTTCCCCTTCTCGTCTTGCTCGCGCACGGCTGCCGAGTTGTTGCCTCGGCTGGCTGCCGTCCGCCATGGCCGGCATCCCTCATCATCTTTGGGGCGTCCGCTGTGCTCTCCGGTTGTGCATCGCGGGTGATGACCGTGCACGTCCCAGACATGGCCTTCTATCTGCTGCCCGCGCGCTTCTGGGAACTGGCGGTCGGCGCCATCCTCGCCGACGCCCACGCTGCTGGGAGGCTGGACATGACAGCGGACGGGAGAAGCGCAGCAGTGGTGGGGGCTCAGGACCTGGTGGCCACACTGCTAATAGCCTCGAGCCTCGTGCTTGACACGGTCGGCGTGGGCTTCCCCTTTCCCGGCGCGCTGCTTCCCGTGGCGGGCGCCGCTTGCGTCATCATGGCAGGGCGGTGCGAGTCGAGCGCCCTGAGACGCGTCCTGGGGCAGGAGCTGCCAGTGTACATCGGCAAGCTGTCCTATCCTCTCTACCTGTGGCACTGGCCTGTTCTTAAGTTCGCTGAGGGGACTGTGTTGGACGATATGCCCGTCGCCTGGAGGTACCTCCTGCTGCTCTCAGTCATGCTCGCGCTGGCCTCTGCGACGTACCACGCGGTGGAGGGGCCTTTCCGGTCTTGGCGGCCCAAGGCCCACTGGCACGCGTTCGCCATGCTGCTGCCCGCCGCTGTCGTCTTGGCGGGCTGCATGCTCGCACTTCGCGGCCCGCTGTTCGGCAAGCTGAGCGTGTCGGCAGGAAACTCAGAGGTCCCTTCCGCAACCATGGCCTCGACCTCGAGCAGCCCAGGGGAACACGTCCACCTCGAGCAGCTCGCCCCCGCGAGCCATGACCTGGCTTTAACAGCTTGCGCGTGCGGCAGGGTTCCTGAATTCACGCATGCGCCAGCGACTGCAAACGATGGCAGGGATGGTCAGCCGTCTTGCTTGGACATGAGCGGTGGCTCTGAGCTGAACAAGAGCTGCTGGGCCGTCTATCATCGTTGCAGCGGCGATGAATGGTGCGACAATGCGTGCGAGTCTCCAGGGAAAAACTGCACGCAGGAGAAGCGCATGGACGAAGCCTTGATCGAGCTCTTCGACAGAAAGAAGCGGCAGTGCTTATCGCCAGCGACAGGAGCACAGAGGAAGCCCACGATCTTCTTATTGGGTGACTCGCACGCGCTCTTCTTCAAGCATGCTCTGACGCAAGCAGTGAGCGGCAGATTGGAGAGGTCTGACGGCCGGCGCCGCCGACCCTGATCGAAAGGGCTAGGAGTGGGGGGAGGAAACGGAGGATGAGGAGGAGGAGGAGGAGGAGGAGAAGGAGGAGGAGGAGGAAAAGGAGGAGGAGCAGGAGGAGAACGAGGAGGAGGAGGAGGAGGAGAAGGAGGAGGAGGAGGAGGAGGAAAAAGAAGAGGAGGAGGAGGAGGAGGAGGAGGAAGTGCATCCTTCGTGTGCCCGCTCGAAGAAAGTGCGCCCCGGGAGTGTGATATTCTGATTTGGGACGTGCTCCCTGAAGAGGAAGAAGTGCATCTCGGGCGTGCCCGCTCGAGGAAAATGCGCCCTAGGGGTGGCATTTTGACTCGGGGCCCGCTCCCGGGACGCCTCTGCGGGATGAGGAGGAGGAGGAGGAGGAGGAGGAGGAGGAGGAGGAGGAGGAGAAGAAGGAGAGGACCAGGAGGAGGAGGAAGTGCATCCCGCGCGTGCCCGCTCGAGGAAAGTGCGCCCCGGCGGGCGTCGCATCTGCCCCAGCGCTCCCCTCCCCCCTCCCCCCCCTCCCCCTCTGCGGGGAAGGGATCAAAGGGAAGGGGCTCCCCTTCGACTCCACTACGACGTCGTTTAATTTCGCTTTGGATAGCGCACTTGAGGAGGAGAGCCCTGGGAAGGGGAGACCGGAGACGACGGAGACGACGAGTCGAACGGAGACGCCCCTCACACACGCCGACAGGGTCGGCGGATTTGATGTGCGTTCGTGGGCGAGCGTCCACTTCATCGATGGCTTCTGGGACTCCAATCTTGATCCCCAGAGAGGATATCCAAGTAAGAGGTATCATACCGAGCTTCGGGAGCTGATTGCAGACGATCTAGTGACTGGCGACATCGTGGCCATCGGCCTATTCATAGATGGGGTGTTCGGCTCACAAATTGACATTGCCACGTCCTTCCTGAACGATTGGGTAACAGTTGCCGACAATAAGGCGCCAGAGTCCTCATGCTTGGGGATCATCACTCGTGCATTCAATATTGGCCAGACGTCCCCACGAAGTGCAGTAGTCTTGGGTTGCCGGCAGATCTGCGCAATCATTGTTTTCCTAAAAAGCAGGACGTGATGAACTCGGCGATCACCTTGAGGCTTCGGGAGATGCAAAGGACTTCCAGCCTGTTGCTCTTTGAGTACAGAGACCTCTTCTGTCACGGGGACATTTGCATGCCCTTCATTCCTGGCAGCAACGTCATGGCGTACCAGGATCCCCATCACTTGACGGCAGCTGGCTCCCTGTACGTGGCGCCCTTCCTCTGCGAGTTCTTGAAGAAGCATGGGTTCCTTCAGAACGACAGCGGTATACAGTAGATACGTACCAGACAGGGCGGGAGCAGCTCTTTAAAAATGCCGTCATATGTCTCGCTTGCGTCGTTCCCCACTTTCCTCTTCCTCGCCCGCCTCCCTCCCTCTCTTTTCACAAACTGCGCAGTTGCCCTTCGCACGTCGTTGGAAACAAAGGCTACCACGACTGTGCCCCGCGGCACTGTGCAGCTCTCCGTTTTTCTTTGAGTGCCGGCACGCATGTCATCAGTCAGGGTGAGGGGGCCGAACGATCATTCATTGTCCCTGGGTGCGTGGCTAAAATGGGATTCCGCGGTGCGGATTCGTGTTGTTGTTGTTTGTTGTTGTTTGTTGTTGTTGTTTGTTCTCGTCGTCCCACCCGCAACCCGCCCCGCAATCCACCCGCGACCCACCCCGCGACCCACCCCGCGACCCACCCGCGACCCACCCGCGACCCACCCGCGACTCACCCCGCGACCCACCCCGCGACCCACCCCGCGACCCACCCCGCGACCCACCCCGCGGCCCACCCCGCGATCCACCCCACGACCCACCCGCGACCCACCCGCGACCCACCCGCGACCCACCCCGCCACCCGCCCGCGGCCCACCCCGCGACCCACATGCGACGCACCCGCGACCCACCCGCGACCCACCCGCGACCCACCCGCGACCCACCCGGCGACCCACCCGCGACCCACCTTCGACCCAAACCACGTTCAAGGTACAAACCACAATTTTCGGCGCCTGCGGCGGGTTTTCTCTGCATTCCTTCCAGGTGGAAAGCCCGCGACCCACCCCGCGACCAACTCGCGACCAACCCGCGACCCAAACCACGTTCAGGGTACAAACCACATTTTTCGGCGCCTGCGGCGGGCATCTTTTGCATTCGTTTCAGGTGGAGAGCCCGAGCCCGCGGCCCACCCGCGACCACGTTCAGGGCACATACCAATTTGTTCGGCGCCTGCGGCGGGCATTTTTTGCATTCGTTCCCGGTGGAGAACCAGCGGCCCACCGGCGAACCAAACCACGTTCAGTGTACAAACGAAATTTTTCGGCGCCTGCGGCGGGCTGTTTTTGCATCCCTTCCAGGTGGGGGTGGAGAACCCGCGACCCACCCGCGACCCAAACCACATTCATTGAACAAACCAATGCCGCACAAGCGCGGCGGCGGATGACGGGAAGCGCCTCCGGCGTGCACCGTTGGTTCAGGGGTTAATTTTTTCTAACTAAGGGGTACCGATTCCATCCCGCACCTCGCTGGCGGATGACGGGAAGCGTCTTCGAGGTACGAGAAGCAAGCGGGACGTTCTGGCTGAATCTTTGAGTAAATATATTTTTTTCTTTAACTATATGGGTTGCCGCGTTGCACGGGATGACGGGAAGCGTCTTCGAGGTACGAGAAGCAAGCGGGACGTTCTGGCTGAATCTTTGAGTATATATATATATATATATATATATATATATATATATATTATATCTATGGGTTGCGGGGTCGCACGGGGTTTTCGTTGGCGGATTCCCCAAAATGGCCATTTCGCTCGAGACATCCTCGAAAAATCGAGGTGTTGGAGGCTATCGTTTAAGACGTCTTATGTTAAAAATGACGGTTTCGCTCGAGACATCCTCAAAAAATCGGGATGTTGAAAAATATCAAAAATTTTTGTTATGCATGAAAAATGAGCGTTTCGCTCGAGACATCCTCGAAAAAATGAGATGCCGACAGAGGTGTTTTAGAACCTCTTATGTCAAAAATGACGTTTTCGCTCGGGACGTCCTCAGAAAATGAGCAGGTGGTCTGCCGTGCTCCCGTGTGGAGCACGGCAGACCACGGCCATTTCGCTCGAGACATCCTCAAAAAATCGAGGTGTGGTCTGCCGTGCTCCTGTGTGGTCTGCCTTGCTCCTGGGGGGCAAACCAGCAACACGTCAAGAAGTTACCCAGGGGACCAATCAGCAACACGTCAAGAAGTTATCCTGGGGGGCAAACCAGCAACACGTCAAGAAGTTATCCCGAAGGGGCAAACCAGCAACACGTCAAGAAGGTGCTGATGGGGGGCAAACCAGCAACACGTCAAGATGTTATCCTGGGGGGCAAACCATTTCGCTCGAGACATCCTCAAAAAATCGAGGTGTGGTCTGCCGTGCTCCTGTGTGGTCTGCCGTGCTCCTGTGGTCTGCCGTGCTCCCCACAGGAGCACGGCAGACCGCGCGCAGGAACCGAGAGGAGCACGGCAGACCAAGACGAGGAGCACGGCAGACCAGGCACTGAAACCGAGAGGAGCACGGCAGACCAAGACGAGGAGCACGGCAGACCAGGCACCAAGAGCGCCCTCAAGACGACGGAAAGGATGACCAAGACGAGGAGCACGGCAGACCAAGACGAGGAGCACGGCAGACTATGCCCTAAGAGTGCCCTCAAGACGGCCGAACAACGGCAGACCCCATAGGATCACGGCAGACCACAGAAGAGCACGGCAGACCAACAGGAGCACGGCAGACCACACCAAGAGCACGGCAGGCCACACAGGAGCAACGCCAGGGACCACAACAGGAGCCACGGCAGACCACAAAGGAGTGCACGGCAGACCACACAAGAGCACGGCAGGACCCCACAATGAGCACGGCAGAAAGACCCCCACAGGAGCACGGCCAGACCCACAGGAACACGGTCAGAGTCAGACCCAAAAGGAGCACGGCAGACACACAGGAGCATTCTCTCTATTGTGCAAGGCAAAACCACAGGAGCAAGGCAGACCAGGCTTAGGAACCGAGAGGAGCACGGCAGACCAAGACGAGGAGCACGGCAGACCAGGCACCAAGAGCGCCCTCAAGACGACGGAAAGGATGACCAAGACGAGGAGCACGGCAGACCAAGACGAGGAGCACGGCAGACTATGCCCTAAGAGTGCCCTCGAGACGGCCGAACAACGGCAGACCCCATAGGAGCACGGCAGACCACAGAAGAGCACGGCAGACCAACAGGAGCACGGCAGACCACACAAGAGCACGGTCCGTAGCCATTTTGGCTCAAGGAGCACGGCTTACGGCAGGCCCTCGGGCGCGCGGGCGCGCCCGCCAGAGGCCATGGTACACTCCGGGTGCGGAGCGGCTTGGGCGGCTGCGTCTGCCCGCACCCTGGCTCGGCGCTTGCGGCGCGCGCGCCGCCAGGAGCTCGGGCTCAGCAGGGCCGCAGCGCTGGCGCAGCGGACCAAGGTCCTGCGGCGTGCGCTGGCGGCGCACTGGCAGCTCGCCGACGTCCTCGGCGGCTTCGCGCCCTGCCACGGCGACGCCCTGGCAGCTGTGAGGCTGCTCGGCGCCGCGCCTGCAGTGCTGATCGATGCCCAGTTCGACCTCGAGGAGGGCAGCTGGGCGCGGCACGCGCCGCCTCCAGGACAAACTCGTCTGCGGCCTGTCCCCACCGAAGCGCGCCGGGCTGAGGTTGCCGAGGCGGCCTTGGCGCAGACCCAGGTCCTGGGCGCAGTGCCGCTCGCGGCGCCCCTGGCCTTGGAGCGGCCGCCTGGAGTGTGGCACGAGGTCTCCTCGCGCGAGTGGGGCAACGCGCCAGCCGGCGGCGATGCGAAGGAGCCCTCGGCGCTCTCCGACTTCCGCGTCGAGCCGCGCGCCCTTCCGCTGGCCGAGGTGCTGGCGCCTGGTGCGTGGCAGGACTTCGACCTCGTCGCGGCGTCCGCGGGCCAGGTCTTTGCGCAGGGGGTTGCGGCGGGCTGGCGGCTCGCTGTTCTGGAGGCTGGGGCCGCGGGCGAGCATCAGCGGGCCGACCCCTACGACCTGTTGCTGGACGCGCTGGGCATCGAGAGCTGCGACGGCGGGAGCGAGGGCGGCGGCGACGGGGACGACGGCGGCGCCTTCGGGGACCATGCCGTGCCCGCGGCTGGCGAGTCCTCGCCGCTGCTGTTGTCCGTCAGTGGCCGTCTGGGCGAGGCCGTCAGCCACAACGACAGCGACGACGACAGCGTAGGCGGCCAGGGGCAGGAGCATGCCGACGGCGATGCTGCTACTGCCTGCTCCGCCACCGCTGCGTCGGCGCTCAGTGGAGCGATCGCGACCTACCTCGGCGTGAACGAAGCCGCACTCCTCCGTGGAGACGGAGACGGCGGTCGAACTGCCGCGGGATTCGCTGAGCTGGCCGTGCCGACCGAGGACGCTGAGGGCGAAGTGCGGCGATGGCTCGCCGACTGGTCAAAGGTGGCTCACATTTGCTCCCTGCAGGAGCAGCTGGGGGCTGCTAAGAAGGAAGTGCAGCTCCTGCGCTGGAAGGCAGGGTGGCTGGAGATTGACTCCGTCGGGGTGAGGTGCAGGGCAGGCCTGCCGTTCGTCCTCCATGAGTCTGGGGGCCGCCTCGCCTGGCATGAGTTCTAGGAGCGAGGGCAGGGACTTCGGCGAGGCCCGTTGTGTGTCTCAGCCCCCACGTGAGGTCAGGCCCGTTTGGCTTTGCAATGCGTGTGCTGGCCTCACCTCGAGGTTTGTGAGGCCCTTCGTCACTTGTTGAGAAGGTGGGCCTCGCGTCTC